TATTACCATTTTTATCAGAATTTACTTGGTCCAAATAAGTTTTTGTGGCTACAACAGAAAGAGAATGTGTCTTGCCACATCCTTTTTCCCCAAGCAATACTAAACCAAGCCACTATTACATCATGTTGCATGCAATGTTTCTGGCCTTTTAGATACCTAAGAAGTAGTATCATCCTGCTTTCCATTGGTATCCCTCTGATGTGTCTCATCTCATATTTGCTGATTCTGTTCATGAAGAAGTAGGGTAAACAAAGTATCGTCTGTTACTTTTGCATCAATCAGATTATCGGAATCTGCCACAATCTCTATCTCCTAAATAAAGGCCCTCCTGGAGGCCACTCATCAAATCAGAAAAAGACATTATTCTCATTACTAATCCAAGTCCAAACTAGTCCAGAGATATTCATTAGCTTTTGCCAAACCAGCTGTAGCCTTAGGTATCTGATGCTCCTCATAGAACCTACTTTGGATTTCATGTCAAGTACGTATTACAGCTTTACTAAAGATCGCTCATACGTTCTTGATACATTCACTTCTTTTCCAGAAGGCCAAAATTTTCAGAGCAAGTCTACTCTCTTTGTTCCCCTTATAATCTTATTATGAGCAATTAAGTCCGATAATATTTATATCAAGTCACCATCAATTCTATGACGTGAAAAACCATCTGATGGTACCTAAAAAATGTTATTGAAGATAGCTTTGACTTTTGAGTTAACTTTGTATGTAGTGGGTGATGTGAATCAATAATTTAAAGTCAGTTATATGTTCAGTAATAACTACAGGGAGAAACCCTTTGAGGTCCTGTGAGAGATGTTTAAGATGTCTAGTTCCGAAGATTGTTGTCGGAGAAACTGAAGAGCTATGTTCTTAAATCTTTGAACATCATCAGTTGATGTGTGAATGATGTTGGTTTTTGCCATCTTTATATTCTACTGTTTTTAATTGATATGTTTTGAGCGCAGATAAATGCAATTCTCTTGTAATTTTTGTCCCGTTTTAGATTGTCTGTTAACTCCTTATCTTGTTTTGTTGTCCACAGGCTTGAGACATAATGGTGATATGAGGCTGAATACAGAGAGGTCCTTTCTTTGACACCATGCAACTCAAATAAAGAAAGCTACTGCAGCTTTCCTATGCAAAAGATTGTCTTCACTCTTTTGAAGTGCCTTTTCCTGTGTAACAATTAATTTTGCTCTCTGAGTGGATAAAGCAAATATTCAAACTGTCACAGAATGATTGTCTAGTAGGTTTAGTGTGTAATTTCATAGCAAACAGAGTTTGTTTAGCATCATCAGATCTTTAAGTTATTATAGCAAAGATATTCTCTTAGCAGACTATTCGATCGGTCGAGTAATTCTAGAAAGAATATACATGGGTTGTCCCCACTTTCTTGTTTTGTTTTTGCCAGTTATCATAGGTTATGATTCCTGTTTTTATCAGGTGGTTAAATGGTAGATGGTACTTGTTTGAAGAAGGATCAAAACCAGGACCATAAATAAGCCAACTGAGTTTGTTTGAGCAGTAGATAGCCACTAAATCCCCCCATGAGCTATCATGTCTTTTAAGTGTCTCTGGTTACTTCATAGTCTCTACTTTTAGAGATTTGTACTAACCTAAGGTGGTGATGTTTTCTGATCAAGTTTAAAGGGAAACTGCATTGGCATTCAGGGAGAAGGTTGGCACCAACTCAAGGAATCAGGTTGAAGTAGTCTCTTCCTCCAGACTTATATGGGACCTAACTTCTCCATGTATAAGTTGGGCTACAAACACTTGCAAATAAACAATAAAAGTGGGAGAAGTCTATTCTTACATACACAAATTCAACTGTCAGACATACAAATGTAGTCTTGAATCTATGTTCAGTTATACAACTAAATTCCAAGTGTTATACATTATATTCTTCTAATGTTCTGAGAAAATTGCCTTCAATTTCAGAGCAGTTGATGTCCACAATTTTAGGTTGACTTGTAAGAGTGTGATAGGTGTATAATTATTAACTTGGGTTTAAGTAGGCCAATGGTTTAAATTAATGAGTGAGCTAGCTTATCAAGTTGGATTATTACACTCTATAAGTTACTAAGTCTCTTTAATCATGGACATTCTTAATTAAAAAAATATATATCTAACATATAAATATTTGAAATCATGTCATAGTTGGCTTGATATCTACTTGATAAGTCAAGCTGAGTGGACCTTGTTGATTGTTACAACAGTGCTAATCGTAACACTACCCTATGAAATCATTTCGATACTCAAGTTAGTAAAAAATCTGAATTGATAGAAAAAATATTATGAATTGACTATCCTCCTTGTGTCCAGTTGATTTGTTCCTTTGCTATATATCAATGCAACAAAAGCAATCAGAACAAGAAGCATTGCATGTAAACTGAGAAAAGGAAACAAACAGTACTACCCCTTATTGAAACCACAAGCAACTTCTTTCAGACTTAACATTATCATATGCACCGAAACTCTAAAATTCACTACAGCCAGTGGTGTTGTAAACATAAATTTTAGGCAATCGATTTGATCATGGATGACCAGAATGAAGGAAGTATATAATTGATGGAAGAGTCTAATATGTGAATGTGACAGTCTTACCTACTCTCCTTGATCACACTGATACGGTTTGCACCCTCATTTCGTGTCTAATACTAAACTTGAGAACAATCTTAATGAGTGCATTTCTCACTATCCTATCAAACATCTTAACCACAAGAAAGATGACATTTTCCTGAGAGCAGCCAATTCAAACAGGCAGCTACTTGGTATCAGTCTGATGATTTCATCTCTCCTGTATAGCTTTTAAAATGCATTCAGACAGACAGAAAATAACATGTAAATGATCTACCATGGACTATGGTTCACTTGGGGTTATCTCAACTCAACTTTATTCTTCTCAACCCTAACATGTAGTTGTTCTAAACATGTCGATAACCATCATTGATCGCGTACTCTCGACTTCTCAAAGTAGCATCAACAAGTTGTGTAATAAGACCAGGATCAATCTTCTAACAGTTGGAAGTGCTATAAATTATGATTGAAATGTCTTAGTAATTAATGATCAATGGAGTTTATATTTCACTTCAGAGATAAGATTAGTTGTGCTTTGTTTCTTGCATACTACCACCAAGAACTCCAAGAAGTGGAACTAAAGAACATGAGGTGCTTGTGTGTTGGGCATGACAAGTTGGTAATCCAACTCAAGAACATGAGGAAGAGGATTACTTCTTAATGAGCATCTTATTTAAAGTGTTTGGCAAGCAAATATGAAAGTGAGGTTCTTATTTGTTCTTGGATAGTATGATCTGCCAAGAACTAGATTTCCATCAGCACCACATAAAACTGGAATAAGGCAGACATCATGCAACATGATCCATATCTGATGTCGGTAACATATTCTGGGGATAACATCACATTTCCAATGAGTCATTCAACGATGACACTAATCAACATCACCATTTGCTTGATGTGTTGGTTTCTCTAATATGGATTTCAACTTGAGTAAGACTCAAAACTATCAATCAAGAGAACAGTACAAGGAGTGACAAATGATTCATGAAGGATTGCATCTCTGTACACAAACAAAAATCCATATCTACACGATAGATGCAACCCACCTAATCTTGGAAATGGATTTGGTGTTTGTCCATTGTTGTGAAGCCACTCTATCGTGCCATGCACATCAATCAAACTCAACGTATGATCATAAACCCTTTTAGGTATGCAAATGACAAAGACACAACTACAGAGTCAAGGAGATGAGGAGGAGCTGCACACAGATTACAGTAGAATTTGACTCGAGAAAGATCACGAGGACAGCTCAAGATCTGCATGTCATGAAGTGCTTGATAAGTAACCAGCAGAAAGGTACGTGTGTCCAGCACTGACATCTTAGCAAAGTGTGTTGCTCACTATCATCTCTCCATGACACCAAGAACACAAGCTGCCAAGAGAAAACAACTTCTGTTTCTAGAGCAAGTAGTCATCTTAGGTACAGATTCAAGACAAAGCAGACTTACTTGTGTGTTCGACCCCATACATCACATAAAATGATAAGACTGGGAGAATGTTTTTTTCTTCTTCGTGATCACAAAACTGAAGATTTTGAAGCATACACATATAGGAGTAATCAACAATATTAACTCATCCCCTCCATGACAAGGAGAACTAAACCATGAGTTCCTCACTTTCAAGTGATACAAAGCTAAACACCCTTTCATGCACCATTAAATGATGTTGACGTCAACTGGAGTGTCTTCCGATACCACCAAATGATGCGGTTCAGATTCACATACAAAGAACACACGAAGAACAAAGCACTGACAATTAATGGCCATGGAAATGGAACCGATGGAGAGCATAAAAGACGCTTAATGGCATTCTGCATCACTGTTGTTGTTTTGGGCGGGGTGGGGGAATAGTCAACGGGGTTGTGCGTGCATGGGGAGACCCCGTCCCGGCTGGCCCGCCTGCCCTACCGCTCCCTCGGTCAAACGTGACGTAAGGTGGGCCCGACTAACGTGGCATTGTTCCATGAGTGGTGATTTTCCGAGCTGGATAATCCTTTATGGATTTTAAGGTTTCCTATATCGTCCAATTTTATTTTCATCGAAAAATCGGTGACTATATTTTTTATTCTAATAATAGTAAATATAATATTTTTTACTTTTTATAATAAAAAAATCAAATATCCTTTAAAAAAATCTTTGAGTGCATTTTACTATTTTTAAATCTTAATTAAATAGTCCAATTAATAAATCTTTAAGGGTATTTTTTTGTGTGTTGACTAAATCTTTGCCGGAGGAGCCACTCCTCCTTCTAGTGGATGAATCAAACATGGATGGAGGAAGTAGTAAAATCGAAGAGGTGTTCGATTGATCGTAACCCATATGGTTTTTTGTGTTGACATGCTTCGGCAGCTTGTAAGAGAAGCCGCTTAGTTGGTAAGAGCTTCACCAACACAACCCCTCCACCCAAAAGCTTAAATCTGAGGCTGCGAGAGAAGATACTTCGGCTCGTTTGGTGGATGACACTTAGAGGAGCTGCCGTCCTACTCCTCGTTTTAGGTATACAGCTTGCATCGGAGGTACGCAAATTGATCGAGTGATGTGTATCGGAGGAAGCCAGCTATGTTGTTTGGTTGTTTGATCATGTATCTTTCCGCTTCCAGTGTGTTGATCTGTTAAATCTTCCGTATGGAAGAAGGCAAAGAGGAAGATCGACTGCCGCCGGGGTTCAGGTTCCATCCCACTGACGAGGAGCTCATCGCACACTACCTCACCAACAAGATGACTGAGCCAAACTTCGGTGCGAGAGCAATCGCGGAGGTGGACATCAACAAGTGCGAGCCTTGGGATCTCCCAGGTAAAGGAAGCCCAAAGACCGAGTTGGTGACTGGGTAGAGATGAAGTGTTGGTAACCCGGCATGGTGTCATCAGGGAGAGCGAAGATGGGAGAAAAGGAGTGGTACTTCTTCACCTTGCGCGACCTCAAGTACCCGACCGGCGTCCGTACCAATCGTGCCACGGAAGCCGGGTACTGGAAGACCACCGGGAAGGACAAGGAGATCTTTGGCAGCAGCAGCAGCAGCACGTCGGAGCTGGTGGGACTGAAGAAGACGCTGGTGTTCTACAAAGGGCGAGCTCCGAGAGGGGAGAAGACCAACTGGGTCATGCACGAATACCGCATCCACTCCAAATCTCCCTTCAGGGGAAACAACAAGGTACGTGATTCTACTGCATGGCTAGGTTTTGCACCCATGGGGTCCTGCGACCGTGATCTTGCGCTTACCACAGGATGAATGGGTCGTCTGCCGTGTGTTCATGAAGAGCTCCGGTGGAAAGAGGTACCCGTCTCACCAGCCGCGAGCCACCACCAACACCATGATGCATTCCTTGATCCAGAACGACCTTTTCCACCTCGGTGCAGCTCGGAGCTACCTGTCCAACGCGGAGCTGATGGAACTCTCGAGGTTCGCCAGAGGCGGCCATGGAGCAAACCTGCCGATCCAGCCGCAGCTCAACTTCCATGGAGGCGGCTTCCCTCTTGCAGGTCTAAACCTAAACCTGGTGGCCCCAACACCGGCGCCGCAGGGGGTGGCTGAGCTGCCTTCGTCGGTGTTGGCCAACGGTGTTATGGGAGGAGCGGATGGAGGATTTGGCACTGACGTGAGCTCCATGATCACTGGGCTACACAATGTGGATTCCTGTGTGGAGCTAATCGATGAGGGCTACTGGCCTTCTTACTAAGAGAGAGAGGGAGAGAAGCTATAGACACTAAGTTTAAGCTACTTCTCTAGATCTGTACCATTAGATGTCTTGTTGGAGTTTCTTGTAAGGTCTTGTGTTCTTCCACCACACTTCTCCATTTGTGTTTCTTTACAGCAACTATACTTACAGTAATCAAATAGATGTTTCTTGTTTGTGAAGATGAGTCAAAGAAAGGGGATGGTGGTGATGCTGATTTCATGAGCACTTGCAGCAAACTCCTCTAAATTACATGTCTTTAAGCTACTTTTAGGCAACAATATATTGTAGATGTTCTTGAAATATTACAAAACAGAAACTTAAAATGTGAGTATATTTATCATACCTTGTTGTCAGAATTCATAGTCTTTTTCACCTTCACATCTATGATAATCCACATTAGGCATATTCATGAGGTCTCTTTTGATTGCCCTTTTATTATCATGTGATCACCTTCATGTCCTCAATAGAAGATGTATGTTTCCCTTACTCTTTGTGCTATGATGAAGACTCTGTAGGTTGTCAACAATGTTCTCTTAGCAGCAATTGATGGATAAAAGGAGACTGATTGCTGAAGTAAACATCATTTATTTTGCTGGAACATTAAACAACTTCCATTTCCTCAGGGAAAAAAATTCTACTTAATGTGTGTTTGCTGAGTTAAAATCTTCTGCAAATATAATTTTAGATAGATTGTTCCATCCTCCATCTCCAAAGAAGTTGTCTCCTTTTGGCAGAAAGAAGCAAACAAAGGATATATAGGCAGTGCAAACAACACTGATCACCTCTCCAATCATCTTTCTTAGGTCACCCTAGCTAACATGGCACTTAGATAATGATCATTTTTTTCGATCAATCGGAACTGGACACACGGAGTATTGTCGGCATAGATTTTCAAGCTCAAAATAATTCAGATCATCTCTTTCTCTTTTTAAAGGATCAAACTTGCTTATGCTTTTACTGACTTAAGCTTCAGAAGAATTTTATCAAGCATTCCCTCGATATAAGTTTTCATAGGTAGACGTGAAGAGAAAATTCTCTCGAATAAGTATCGACAATTCCGGTTCAAATCGACTATTCTCAAGTGCGATAAGATTTGAAAAACAAATCTAGTCGAATTAATTTTATCACGTTAGGTTTCTCTTGATTCTCAAATATGATAAGACTTGAAAGACAAATCTAGTCCAAGTAATATGGTACAAAGTAGAGGAAATGTCTTAAGTTGATCAGTTTCTTGTTAACAACTGCTTTAGCTGCCTGAGAAGAACTCTGCTTCATCAAGAACAAGAAGGCACACAGACTGATGCATTCCTCAGAAGAAGAGGAAAGAGAAAGACAAATAGATCTGCTTGCCTAATGCTTCAAGGAATTTAATGTCAATGAATCCTGGAACTGCATTAGAAAAATCTTGACTTGTTTGACTGAAATCTAATAGTTCAGTGCATGTACAGTGTGCACTTATGAACACAGCACATGAACTCCAACCATTATAGAACTCTGCAAGGATCTGAAGAATCTCAGGAGATGTCATATATCATAATCAATTATAAGAAAAAACCTCCTGTATGATGATATAATCGAGACACCAACAGTACTTTCAATATGCAGGACCACGAAGATGAAATTGGTTTTCTAATCAGATCAAGAACCAGAAAAAATACCCATGTAAATATATATTGGAGAAAAGTTACTGGAATAATAAACTCGTATGCTGTGTGGCATTGTTGGAGGAAAATAAACACATTTTTTTATGAATCCTATGAGAAAAGTTCTATATGGCATTCTTGAAGGAGAAGGTTTTAATTTTTTTTTAGATTAAAAATTAAATCAGAATACTGATACAAAATTTATATGATTCCATAATTTTTATCTGCTTTTGTTGAGAAAATATTATTTTTATTATATGAGAAAATAAATATACGAGATAACTCTCTCTTGCGTTAATCATCCTGAAATGTCTTGTACACTTTTTCATAAAAATTCTAAAAAAAATTCGTTCAATTCTCTCCGGATCTATCAAATAAAATATTAAGAATAAAGTTTTATTCTTGAGAATAAGACCTTGAGATATATACCATATCTATAAAAATATATCTTAATTAACTATATTTAAACTCTTAAGCCTCTTTCTAATTAAAAAATCCTAAAAATATTAGGTAATTTATCTAAAAATTATCAAATAATAAGGTTTTACCATATGATGCCCCATATTTGCTTTTACTAGTGGTGTTTCTTTTGTTTAAAATACTATAAATTGACTTGATTCAAACTCAACTAATTCAAGGGTTGATTTAATTCGATTGTGGTCATAGTCGGAGTCAAATGGACTCAGATTGAATCTTATGAAGTAGATCGGGTCAGGTTTTAAGTTGGATCATATTTGAATCAAAAGGCAAAAGTTTTTCACGACACTAAACTAGTATAACCTTAGTCTCGGTGAGACTATAGCACCTCTCCCTCCTCTATTTTTTTATGGTGATGAACGATGGTAACAATCTCCCATTTTAGGCAATGATAGACTTCTCTTGGACGATGGTAAAGTCCTTTGCTCTTCTCTAGTATTTTGCGAATGGCGATAACAGCTTCTCCTCTTCGACGATAGTAAACTCCTTTGTTCTTCTTCGATAACGAACGGTGACAATGAAGTCCTCCGCTCATCTCTGGTATTTATTAATAACAATGACATTCTCCCCTTGTTGGAGGTGACAAACTCCTCTACTCCTCTATAGTATTTTGCATTAATAGTGACCTCATCTCCTCTCCGACTATAAATAGCAATGTCTTCGTGACGACGACATCCTCTCCTCTTCGATAATAAACTTTTTTTTAAAAAAATTAGTATTTTTAAACTAATCTTTTTCATTGATCCATTAAGTATAATTGAATTGATAATGTAAGAGTCCAATTTTTGTGTTTATATGATGAAAATGAATGATTGTTTACTAATTATTGATATTTATATTTTTAACACCATTGAAAGGTTTTGTTGATTTTTGGTGAAACAAGGAAATATTAATGATTTAAAATTAAAAGTGGGTTTTATTGGTGAATATTTTTGTTATTGAGATGTTAAGATCTTGGCTCTGGATCATTGTTGATAGTTTTCTATATTAATGATGAGGTATTTAGGAGAAGCATAATTATATTCAACACTTTTAGGATTATTATTGATAGTTTTCTATATTTATGATGAGGTTGGAGCTGATTAATTTTTGTTTTTAGTTACAATCAAGTGTGAAATTGTAAATATAGTTCTCTTAGAACAAGTAATATTTCTCAAATCATTTATATAATTATAATTATCTTATAGGGTTTATAATTATTTTCTGGAATTGGATAAACACCTATTACATATTTTGTCTAATGAAAATAATTTATAGATACTAAACATTTAGAATAGTTACTTTCTCTCACTTTTTTCCTGTATTTTCTTAAATGTTTTATATAATATCCATTATTTATAATATTTAACTTTATATATAAACAAAATAATCCGCTAACCCTTCGACTTACACGTAAGAAAGTATATCAAAGTAGCTATTACAAATAATATATATATCATAACTTAATTATTTATATTAATCATTATTCAATTATATGTAACTAATATCTTTTTTTCGGTGTAAAATTGAAGATGTTTGAATCATTCATTCCACCATCTTAACTTTATTGAATCAATCTAGTTCAATTGGGGCCTCACAAATCGATTCAACTTAAATAAATCAAAATCAATTGAGTCATAAATATTAGATATCTTTTTGTAAATATTATTCAAGATATTTTATGAAAATAAAAATACTCCTATAAATATGGAAATTCATAGAATAAAAATCTTATTATTTTTTTTTAGAAATTATCCAAATATATTTACCAATCAATCCTGGAGTTTCTAAAAGTACAGACTTATTTCATTGGATCTCCATCCAACTTAGAACTCCTTTAAGATAATAGCAAACTTGACCATTTCTCCAGTTATCAACAGCTCCCATCTGTTCTCCCACTTGTCTCAGGATAGGATGTGACTGACATCAGTCACCTCATTCCCACTTTTCCTGTTCAATGTCAATCCACACTGTTACAGTGACAACCCAAATGGATCTCCATTGTTCTGATCTTTCTATTCTCACGGTATGGTATGTCCAAATTACTTTGTTGGAAGTATTTTTTTTTTTGTAGTTTCTTGAATTAATCCAATTCAAATATATATATATTTTTAACTCTCTCTCTCTCACATAAATCTTCAAGAATTTATTGGAGAAAGATTCTAAAAATATGCAATATAGTTTCTAACATGCTCGACCATTAAGAACTTAGAAATATATTAATTATTTATATAATAATCAAATCTTAATATACTAATCCCTTTGTTTTATATAGGTGTATGTATACATAAAATCTCACTGTAATTGGATGACAATATTTTTTTTTTGGCTTATGCTAAGATATGAAAGAAAACAAAGCAACTGAATGAAAAGACAGAAAAAAGCAAGGGAGAGGAAGAAAAAAAAAAGAGACTAAATATCATTGAACAAATTAATGAATTTTATTATAGATTTAATTATTCTATGTGCAACAATTTGGTCTCTAAATTGTCACAAAAAGATAGCAAAATAAAATTTAGGAGATGGAGGGAGTTTTGCCATTGACATCTTGAGTTCACCAAATTGTAAAAAAAAGGGAGAAAATTTGTATGAAGATTAGTCATTTCCATGACAGTGCATTGATGTGATCCAAAGTTCTTAATCATGTTAATATAATAATAATTTTTCACATAATAATTATAATATGTTATGTCAAATATACAAAAGAAATCATAAGAGATGCAAGTTGATATCATGTCCATATACAATGGAATCATAATTTTCATTCACAGGTAGTATTTTTCTATTTAAACCTTCTTAATATATCATGTTCAAATGTTAGGTTAATTAGTCGTAATATTAATATTATTTTAATTTAAATTATTCTAAAAAATATTTAAATTAAAATTAATAAATATTATATTTATTAAATTCTTATAAGTCAATCTTATGTGAAACGAATTGAGATATTATATTTGAATAATATTATTATAGTAATAATATAAATAAATTATTATTATTTATTCATCAATCAATAATATCATAAAAGTTATTTATATTTGCTAAACCTCATTAACTATATCATTACTTAGAAGAGAGCC